TTTCCAACTCGAAATATCCAATTTTCGCTTCTCTTTCACGTTTTCTTAATTTTTTTATATTTTTTTTCTCGTATCTCTATCTCTATATCGACATGTATCTTTACCTCCTACCTCGAGTTGGAAAAAATATCGAAAAAGAAAAATAAGATATAGACATAGATACAAGTATAGATATAGGTAGCGGTAAAGGTAAATATAAAGATAGAGATAGAATTAAAAGAATTAGAGTTGAAAATTTGTAGGTGATAAATAACGAATCATAGTTGGTGAAAATTTAGGGGCCGTTTGATAACTATTTCTGCTTTTTGTTTTTGGTTCGTGTTTTTAGTTTATGGTTTTTTGTTTTTAAAAAATAAAAACTTGATAACATTTTTGTTTTTATTTTTAAAAAATAGAAAAACAAACATGTTTGATAATCCTTTTTAGTTTTCTGTTTTTAAAAAGTTAGAAAATTGAAAATATATATTAGAGAGAAAATTCTATATAGAGTGGAGATGAAAATAATATGAGTGTGAGTGAGGATGCTCTCCCCCATTCTTGTGCTCGTGAAAATTTTTAATTCCCCTCCCCACTTCGTTGTTCCGTCCGAGAGATGTTCTAGAGAAAAATTATCAGTTTTATAATTTTTTTTAATTATTTTTAGAATTTAAGTATAAAAAAAGTGTAATAAATATATATTAATTATTTAAAACTGGAATCGGAGACAAGGTCGGGGTATGCATTTCTTATTTTTTGGGCCCGATCCTGCGGAAATTTGTGTCATCCCCTAATGTAGAGACATGAAAATACAAGTTTAGAGAGATGTAAATAAACTTTTGGAAGATAAATTTTAGAGAGATAAATAAAAAGATTTAGAAAAAAAATAGTAAAATAAAAGTTAAAGGCAAAAAGAGAAAAATTTTAGAGAAAAAAAGTAAAGTCGAGAGAAAAAGATATGTTAAAGAAAAAAAAAGAAATTAGAAAGAAAGAGAAAAATTATAGTGAAACAAATTTAGACAAGATTCAAAATATAATTTCTAGAGAAAATAAATAAATACACAGATGAATAAAAATTTCAGCAAGAAAATATATATAATTTTCAAAGTAAAAAATAGATTATGAAGAGAAATAAATGTTAGAAATGAGGAAAAAAGTTAGAAAAAATATTAAATTTTTAGAGGGAGAAAACTGATGTGTTAGTAAAAAGTAAAAGATAAAAATAGAGAAAAAATTGGAGAGATAGACAAATAATAATAAATATTCAAAATATCAAAATTTTAGGGAGAGAAATAAATTTTGTAGAGAAAAATTTAGGAAGAAAATAATTTTTAGAGTGAGAATTAAATTTTTTAGAGATAAATACGAGAAAGAAAAAAAAGTTGAGTATTAGAAGAAAAAATMAGATTTTAAAAAATAGAAATCTGTTATTAAAACTATTTTTGTTTTTAAATTTACATAGAATTTCATATGGTTTTTAAAAAACAAAAAACAAAAATTTGAATCGGTTATCAAACAACTCATTTTTAAAAAACTAAAAACCAAAAATCAAAAACAAAAAACGAAATGGTTATCCAACGGGACCTAAATGATATATAAACTGTTGCTATCGCACTACCATTATTATCACTACGTTGTCGTTATTATCTCTATCTCTATCGTTATCGTTATCGTTATCGTTATGAGATGAAATTGGAACTATTTTGCTAATATAAAATATCGCTATAACTACCTTTATCGTTATTCTCTATCACTATAGCTACCTTTACCGTTATCGCTATAACTAAAAGAAATAAGTGAAGGGTATAAGAAGTAATTTGTTGCAATAGGATGATGTCAGCAAGGTCAGATTAACAAGTTTTATAGAATCGTATCATATCTCATTTTTCAAAATATTAAGAATTGGAATGAGTTTTGCTTGTATTATCTTGAATAGGCTCATTAATAGAATTAGAAATTAGGYCCATATGTTACTAACAATAGAACTTAAACCCAAATTTTAGTGGTTGGTCTTAACTTTATTGACGCCTCTAAATTTATATCATTCTCGCGATTATCCCGAATTTAATCTTAGCATATTTAACCTAAGAAAATTTCGTAAATTAATTATTTTTACAATCATAATATAAAAAATCTATCTTCATCMGTAGTTTCTCACTTTTTTTTMTTTTTTTGAATACAACAAATTAGCGATATTGGGGTTTGAACCTCTAACCTTAAGAGAACAAATAAATGTCAATTACTATTGAATTATATTTAAGTTGGACGTAGTTTCTAACTCACTTAGTTATATTGATGTAGTTAGGGGTGATCAAAGCAAATCGAAAATCGATCCGACCGACTAAAACTGATGTCGGTCGGTCGATTTATAGGATGAGTCAGTGAATGTACGTTTTTYTCTATAAAAAGCGACTAGTTGATCGGTCGGCTCTTCCAATATCAAAAAAATCGATCGACCGACTGACTTATTTAAAAAAAAAAATCTAAAATTTCTTCCACGAGAGAGAACTGCACAGAGAGAAACGAGAGGATAAATTACAATTGAGAGTGAGAAGAAGAAAGATGTTTGAGTAAAGAGAAGAAACACGAGAGAAAGATAAAGTAGAAGAACAAAAAGAGAGGGAAAAAAGGGAAAAAAGATTTAAAAGATAGAGAACAAAAGGAGTGGCTAATAGGAAAAATATAAAAGAAAAAARAAGTCAGTTTGTGATTCACGTGAATTATATATATAATATTTATTTTAGGTACTTTTATTCAGAGTAATTACAATGGGTAGCAAAAATATTTTATATATTTCAAAAAATGTCATCAGCTTTTCAAAATTTCAAATATAGCAAAATATTTGAATTTTTATTTTCGAATTTTTTATTATTCCAATTTTACCCTTATGATATCTAATATATATCTGATGTGATATACATCCAATATATCATACATCAAATCTATATCTGATATACATCTTATGTAAATTTGTATATGAAATACATCAAATTTATATCTAATGTACATCCGATATAACTCTGATATACTTCCGATATACATTCGATGTACCCCTAATATACAGTATCAGATATACCATGATAGATATACATTATCAAATATACCACTRATATACATCAAATGTACATATTATACATATAATATATATATCTGATGTACTTCTAATTTATGCTATACTGAATATATTTCCAACTRATATACTAAATATACTTGCAACTAATATACTAAATATAAACTGTATCAAATGTTTAATTTTGAGTAGTGTATCAGCTGTTTAAATTATAGTTTATCATTTCAATTTGTTGTTTAATATACTAATATTATCAATAATGTTGATTACTATATCACTACTATTTATTCAATATTAATATTAATTAGATACTAAATATAAAARATATCAACTGTTTAAATTTATAAAGTACATCAAAATGTTAACTTGTCTTTTTGGACTGCATGGTCCACATAAACCTTTTATATAATAACTTTATATTTAAAAAATAAAAAATAAAAAATTTTGCTCCATTRTTTTCATCTGAAAAAGATATTGGATATAATAGTATGATATCAACACACATATGATATCAAAAAATATATATATATCAACACACATATATAATGGTTATATTAGTAGATATAATGGTTATATCGGAGGTATATGTATATAAGTGGTAAATTAGAAGCATATTAAGTATATATCAGTATTATATTAGTGGTAAATCATATAATCATATAATAAGTTATATAAGTTGATAGCATAGTTATATCAGTGGTATATCATTTGTTTATCAATGGTAAATTAGAGACATATCAAATATATATGTGTTGTATTAGCATGGTAAATCAATGATTATCATACGTATATCAATGGTAAGACATGATAGAAGTTCAGTAGATATCATGGTTATATCATAAGTAAATCAATTGTATATCATTATTATATCAGTAGTATATCAGAGATATATATCAGATATATTAAAAAGGTGAATTTGGAATTTTACAACTGGACCTCCGTTTTTTCTAAAAAAAAAATTGTTATATTTGAAAAAACTAAGTGTGGTTGCTATTTTGCTTATTTTACTAAAATTTTTTGCCATATTTGCAAGTGCCTCTTTTATTTATTATTATATTATACTTTTTTTCCACCTTTTCTATTCCACCCAGGTGGCTCTTTAGTAGCCTTCTTTCTTATTCTATTTTTCAATTTTTCTCTCTTTCTTTTCTCCTTCCTTCTTCTCTTTTTCGTTTCTCTCTCCACCTTTCTTTTCTTCATCCTCCTTCATTCTTCCGCTCTACCATTTCTTCTCTTTCTCCCTTCCATTATCCTAACATTTAACCAGTACAGTTATATACTCTTAAAAATCGACCAAACCGATCGATCGAACAGRTAGTTAAACGGTCGGTTTGTATAGAGATATAAAAAAGATGTTAAACGGTCGGCCAAAAATCGTCCCCGATCGTTCGAGGCTCACCCCTAGATATACCGAACTATGCTACAATTAAGTGGATGAGATCAGTAAAACATATTATATTCATTTTTTTTTAATAAATATTTGATACCTTTATTTTGGTTGAAAAATCAAACCACGTTAATTAAAACATATTTGTATTTCTTTTGACATCATATCATACTGTCTTTTCTTAGTACCTTAAAATTGCACCTTTCTAAATTAATTTACTAACAAAGGAAAATCGATAAATGTTTCATAATCAAATCCATACTTTGAGTCGGAAAAAAATCCAAAATAGGTGAACTCCTCGAGAGAGAGAGAGAGAAAAAAAACACTAATCCAAATCACTCGAGAATTTTCTATTTCCGAAAGTTAATTTTCCAAAGCTTAGTTATTTACGACATAGAAAGGTCGGTGAATCCTATGACGATTTGTCGTCTTATGAGATCTCGGCGCCACCTTGGCCCTTTGGGTCTCTTGAGCCAAACGACTTGTCGTTTTCCTAACTTCCACCCTCCTTTCCTCGTATATATTCATAAATCCCTACTTCTTAAAACAAACTCAAGCCAAGCCACTGCTTAGAGTTTAAACATCCCCTCCTCCAATGGCGGAAGCAAGAGATCAGCAGCACCTGGCCTCGAAGACGATCCCGACGATCGACCGATGTTCCTCCATTGACCGAGAGAACCACACCGTCGTGGCCGACATGGATGGGACTTTGCTTTGTGGTCGTAGCTCGTTCCCTTACTTCGCCCTCATCGCATTCGAAGCCGGTGGAGTCTTGAGGCTTCTTCTTTTGTTGTTGGCCTCTCCTATCGCTGGAGTTTTGTATTACTTCATCTCYGAGTCTGCTGGAATTCGTGTGCTCATATTTACAACTTTCGTTGGAATGAAGGTAGTTACATTACTAAATTAAAAAACTTAAATTCACAAGTTAGAACAACAATATTTACCTATACACAAATTAGTAAAAGTGTTTATTGATTTTTGGATCTAACATCATATAATTTTTAAGTTTAAATACTCTTTTGGTGAGTGATTTATTTTGATTTATGTACCTGTATTTCAAATTTGATTTGTTGTAATTTTATAAATACGTCTATTTTGGTCCATATATTTTTAAAAGTGACAAATTTATTACCTATTTACAAAATTTTAACACAATAGAAACTCTTTAATATAAATTTATGGCTTTGTTTCAAGAAATTTAGTCCGTAAATTATCGTGCTATAATTATTATGGAAAGAGATGAGATGAAAAATAAAAAMAAGGACCAAAATTGGCGCTAGTAGATAAATGTATCCGTGACTTGTATTTAGGCCGTGTGATTATATTCTAAAACATTGCAAAAGATTACTGTAGAAAAAAAGGCTAAATTTTAAATTAATGATTACGGCAAAATTTAACATCTTATGTTAAAATTCTTGAAAAAGGTTTCCGACATTGAGTCGGTGGCGCGGGCGGTCCTTCCAAAATTCTACGCACATGATTTGCACGTGGAGACGTGGCGGGTATTCTCATCGTGTGGGAAACGCTGCGTTTTAACCGCGAACCCGAGAATCATGGTGGAGCCGTTTCTGAAGGAGTTTCTGGGAGCTGACGTGGTCATCGGGACCGAAATCCACGCAATC